TGGCCTGCGCCCTCTTACAATCCAGGACCCCTTGGGGGATGTCAAAGAGACAGTTTTGGCCCAATCCCGCAGGCCAGGCTGAGGGACCCCAATGGTGCATGAATTCGTGCACTGGGCCTCTAGTGTTAAATAAAAAAGAAGGCTTCAGAGTGATTTTAGAAAGTTGAAATAGAGGGGCAGAAAAGAATCAGCAGAGGACATACAATTTCTTGGGATTTGGGAGAGGGGCATTCAGCTACTAAGGTTTCGTTTCATTCCAGTCATATCAATGCATTCAACTCATTTATTCAACAGATATTTATTAGGCTTCATCTGGAAATTAGGGACCTTAAGGTAAGTCACCATCCCTGACTTCAAGGAACTTAGCTGGGGGGCAGGAGAGGCGGGGAGTCAGATAAAGAGATAATGCTAATAAGGATCAGCACAGGTTGCTGAGGAAGCAGGGTGGGTGCCCAACCCTCTTGTTGAGTTCTGAAAACCTGTATGGAGAAAGGGAAAGTTGGAGGCTTCTTAAAGGGAGAATGGGAGCGGCCAATAGAACGAACGGTTGGGGACGCATTGTCCTCGAATGTCCAATAAGAAAGCATGTGAGTTCTGGGACTGGGTGAAGTTTCAAATGACCGGACTTGGAGAGGGAGTGTATGGGGCAGGGCTTGGCAGTGCAGCCAGAAGAGACAGCCTGAGCTCTGGTGCATCAGACCTTGGCAGAGACCCTGGAAACCATCTGAAAACACCGAGGGCTATGTTGGTTTCTAGTAGGGAAATGGCATTGTTAGATATAAAATCAGAGACAAAGAGGACTAGTGGGAGAAACCAATGAGAGGAAAGACCAATTTGTATATTTTTAATGCCAAATTAAAACAAAACTATCCCAAAGAGTGAAACTCCAAGCGAAAATCTGTTGAACAAGCCGTCTTCCTTATCCATCTCCGAGAAAATGAGGACATGGTTTGGAACTTCCGGGCCAATTGAATTGAAGTGTTTTTGTATAGTTAGCTTAAATAACCAAATGATGAAATCCATCCTCCAAATTGTCAGCAGAGCAGCTGTTCAGAAAGCTCTTGTTAGTCATTGACCTTATGTTTAATATGATTTCCTAGAGCATGGATAGTCAGATTGAAAAAAGTACCACTTCAAAGCCCTCCCCACCTGGGTGTGCTCCCCGCAATGCAAGAACCAAGGAAAAGAGAGTGGTGGGCCGAGTGCAAAAGCCCTTTCCTTCCTGCCCCCCAAATCTCCAGGGAAAAAGGAAAGATGAAAGCACACCACAGGCACATCTTAGAGAAGAAAGTGCTGAGACTACCAACACCTCATCTCTTTCCTAATCATAACGGAGGGGGTAAATAAGAAAATGTTTATGACCTAAAAAATCCTCCTCTGTTTTTCAAGAACAACTAAGGCTTCTTGTCCAGTCTGTTTCCTTTCGGGAAAGTGACTTCAAGCGTGACCTTTTATCTGACCTGGATTTATTGCTTATGTCACTGGTGGTGGGATGGGATATGATGAAGGATTAGGTAAGAGGGATGGAGAGTTGGGACAAACAGAGGGTAGATGTGGAGACTTATTCTTAGAATAAGGATCCAGCATATATAGTGATGCAAAGTTTTACCTTGAAAATAGAAAGTCATGTATACTATTTAAAGAATGCTCTCTCTTTAGGTATCTATCTATCTATCTACCTATCATCTATCTATCTATCTATCTATCTATCTATCTATCTATCTACCTATCTAACCATCCATCTATCCATCTACCTACCTATCTGTCATCTCTATCTTCCTGTCCATTTATCATTTATATTCTGCCTATATAGTACTTGCCTGTACTTTGAAAAGCACACATGTATGAGGATTAAAATAAAAACAAAGAAGTTTGCACATCATGTAGTGAAGGGGAGGGGATAATTGTACTAACAGCCTGGAAAAAATAGTTCTGGCAATTGAATATTTAATTTAGCTGAAGCTCCTGGCAACCAAGGCAAATTAAACAACTGCTATAAGACATAAGTAGTTATTGTTGGTGAAAAGAAGTGCACTATTATATAAAAATGAGAAAATATCCCCTAGCACTAAATCCTAAAATCTTATTCATTTACATAAAAGAAAACCTGTAGCAAAAAATACAGTGCTTTATACAGCAATTTTGCAGAAGATGCAGAAATGTTTTTCACTCGAGCTTTGTTATACCAATGTTGGATATAAAAGCAGCAGCCTTTAACAAAAAGGAACTGAAGACCATAACCTGCTTTATCCATTAGTCTTCCGAATAAAAAAAAAAATTTAAGACGACGCCAAAATAAAATGAAACAAAACAAAACAACAACAGCACCTGTCCAGCTCTAAATTTTTATAGTTCTATGGCTCATCAAGGTAGGATTTTATATGTAGCACTCTTAGGTTATAGTTCAGACTGTCACTTCTGAGTTAGGATTCTTTCAATTGTGAACAAACAAACCAACAAGAAAACACACAGAGAGAAATAGCAACCAAGAGTGCCTTGAGAAATTAAGAGAGTCACCTGGCTGGGTTGCTAAGTGGTTAGAGAGTTGGCCTGGACCAAAGCATCAAGGGGTTTGATTCCTGGTCAAGGGCACATACCTCAATTGCAGGTTCAATCCTTGGCCCTGGTTGGGGCTCGAGTGGGAGGCAACCAATCGATGTGTCTCTCTCATGTCGATCTCTCTCTCTTCCCTTTCTCCTCCTCTCCCTCGCTTCAACTCTCTCTAAAAAAGTCAATGGAAAAAATATCCTCGGGTGAGGATTAAAAAAATAAAATGAGAGAATCTATTGGCACATGAAACTGAAAAATCCCTCAATATCCTAGTTTCAAGCCACAGTTTGACCCTAAAGTTTGCAGCATCACTAGGGCTCTGGCTCCTTGGCTGTTTTCCTTGGCCTCCATCCTCTTTGCTCTGTTATCTTTTCCTTCTGGTTAGCCTTTCTCACAACAGCAAACACTTCTATTGCAGGTCCTGGGTTCCTCACATTTCAAATCCTATGCTTTTAAAATCAGAGGAAGGAAACAGAAGTCTTCTCCAAATACTGAAGTGAAGTTTAAACAATTAGCATCTGTTAAGAAACTGATGTCAAAATATAATGTTGAGTAAATTAAGCTGGATACAAAAGAATAGATAATTTAATATGATTTTCTAGAACAGGAAAATTAATCTACTGTGATAGAAATCAAAACAGGGGTGCTTTTAGGAGAGGGAACTTGACTATACAGGGACACAGAGGAACTTTCTGGAGTGAGAGAAATGTTCTATATTTTGTTCTGGGTGGTGGTTCTAACCAATGTATTCCTTTGTCAAAACTCATTGTACTGTAGACTTGTGATATATGCATTTCACACCCTTACAAAAGAAAGCCCGATACTAAGAGAACATGCTGGCTGATGTATGAGAAGTGACTGAAGTTGGCTGACATCCGAGCAGGGAGACAGGAGTCTGGCACAGTTGGTTTAGACAACGCTGAGAGGTGGTGGTCAAGTTCTGGATATATTTCTAATCGGGGCCCAGCAAAATTAGCTGATTGAATGACTGTAATGTGAGAGAAAGAAAATAATAAAGGCTGACTCCTGGGTATTGGCTCTGGCATCTAAGTGAATAGTGATACCGTTTACTAAGATGAGATAGAAGTAGTGACAATGGAGGTTTGGGTGAAGGTATAGGTGGGGAAATCAAGACTTTGGTTTTGAACTTGACATGTCTATCAGAAATGAACATGGAACTGTCAAGTAGGCAAGTGGGAGTATAAGGGCGGAGTTTAAGGGCAGCTCGGGTGCAGATATAAATTTAAAGTTATGGGACCGGTGAAGACCTCCTGAGGAGAGAGGATAGGTAGGGAAGAGAAGAGGACAGAAGCTTGGGACAGGCTGAGATTTTTCCAGAAGAACTAAGATTTTGTAGGCATGAGGAGTTTCTCGGAGCAGCAATGAGGAGCAAGAAGGGTTCTATCCCTCCTGCGGACTGTGTACGATATAGCAGGTGGGGAAGAAATGGCCACTTCTTAAGAGGACTGCAGGGGATAAGTGTGATCTGGGACTCAGTCAAGTTTGTCATCAGCAAAATCCTTTAGATCCTAAAAGCCTTTTTCTAAACAGTTCTTTGATCTTCTTGCTCTAACAAAAAGTTAGCTGTCCTCAGAACATCAAGGCAGGGTTCAGTTAGAACAAGATTCTCCAGGGAATGTTCAAAGAAATTGAGGAGATAGAGAAGTTAGGAAGTTAAAGAGATTGGGTAATGAGGGATGACCTAGCAGCTTTGCATGTCTGGTGGTAGAAGCATGTTGAGACTAGCTTTGAGGGCCTTTTAGGGGCACATGAGCATTTAATCCTAATTGGGGCTTTCTCTTGGCACCTCAGCAGTTTGTGGTGATGAGTCAAAGAGTATCACCTCTAAAAACTGAGTCCCGTGGGCCTTCTTTAAATGCCCTGGGACAGGTAGTCTCACCAGGAACCTGGGCCGACTCCCGTCACATCCCTGAACCAATCACTGTGGCCAGGAAAGTGGGACTACAAAGACTAGGGATGCCTGAAAGTCAGGAAGGGATATGGGCTTGTGTTTGTGTGTGTGCGTGTGCCTGAGCACTGGGGCTAACAGAAGAGGCTGCTGAGAGCTCTCAAGAGACAAGAGAAGATGGTTACTGACCGGCCAAACCCAGCTCGTCTTCATCAGAGCCCCTCCCCCAGCAACCAGCAAACATAGTACAGATGGCAGAGCAACTTGAATGGATGGATCTATATAAACATGTCCTCACTCCAGGAAAATGACAGGAAGCATTACCTTTAATGATGGAAAAAATCATGTGATTTGACTGGCAGTGTCGTATTCTAATTGGATCAAAGAGGAAATTGTTTTGTAAGTTTAAGCACTTATCCATTGCAAAGTCCAGAACATCTAATGGTGTGTTATCTCATTTTTGCTAATAATTGTCTTCAAATATAATTGCTCATAAGTACATGGGTCAATTTATAAAACACTTCTTTTTTCCCCCCCACAGGAAGAAATGAAAAGATTGCAGAATCCTTTAGAACAAGTTAATGATGGAAAATATTTACTTGAAAAGTAAGTAAAAAAATACTTCTCACCACCACCCTGGAAATTCAATTATTTGCAAGCTTGAAAAGCTTGTATGAAAAAAAGAAACACTACCTGGCAAGGCAAAAATAAATAAGTAATTTGGCAGTTCCTTATGGTATAATTGTGGTCAGGACCCAGAAATGTGTCTCATTTGAGATATAATTAGATAGATTCATGACTAGTCAAGCTATGATACACAAGCTATCCTGATTAACAGAGTAATATGATGCCTGCAGATATCTCTGGTGGTATGTTTGAGGGCTTGAAACTTAACCCTGCCCTGTCTTTGGCTTTAAATCAGGGATGTGTATAGAAGCCAATCATAAATTTGTAAAAAAGTACACAGTTTACACTAAAACTAATAGAATGAACATTCAAAGTAATACCGCACACAGAATGGAACAAAACGGAGATGAAAAGAAAGCAAGAAAGAGTTGAAATTAAACAGAGATAAAAATACAGTCTTCCATTTAGGCTTTTTTAAAAATTATGCAATTAGAGCATGTGAGAGATATATTCTGATTTCAGTTTGGGGGTAAATGTTTAGAGATTTTTTATCTGATGTTAACATGAGACCGTGATTTTATGTGGCTTCTAAAAATATTACCACAATATTAAACTGTTTAGTAGTCATGCAGTGTCAAGATAAAAGAAGAAAAATTAGCTATCATTTATTGAATTTTTACAGCATACTCTCTATTAGTGCTTACAGATACTTCCTCATGGAACTCTGATGATAGCCCTGTGATATAGGCATTGTTATTTCCATTTTACAGACCAGGAAAGAGGCTCAGAGAGCTTTCAGCACTTGTGTAAGTATGCTCAGCTGAGTGGTGAGGAAGGGTGGGAATCAAACTCTGGTCTGAATGCCACCAGAGCCTTTGCTCTCAACCACTCGCTAAGTCTGCATGTCAAGCCCATGTGAGTGTCACGCTTGGCTCTGGGCACCACATTTTAAAGGCACAGTTTACTTATTTATTTTTCTTAATCCTCACCCAAGGATATTTTTCCACTGGTTTTTAGAAAGAGTGGAAGGGCAGAGACAGAGAAACATCGATTGGTTGCCTCCCGCTAACGCCCCAACCAGGGCCTGGATCTAGTCTGCAACTGAGGTAGGTGCCCTTGACCAGAATCAAACCTGGGACCTTTCAGTCCAAGGGCCATCGTTCTGTCTACTGAGCTAAACTGGCTAGGGTTAAAGGCATATTTTAAAGGCACACCCCCAAGAGTACCAGAGGAGGGCAATAAAATTTATAGGATTCTGAAATCATGTGAAACTACTACAAAGGGCTGAGGATGTGAGGCTGGAGAAAATAAATCCCAGAGGAGACATAATGGCTGTCCTTAAACATTTGAAGGGATTTTCCTTTAAAAGAAGGGCTAAATTGCTCTTCTTACTCTAGGAAGAAAATGAGGATCAATGAGAAGGGTTTATGGAGAAACAGTTTGTGACTCAGGAAAAGGATAGCTTTTGTGAAAACCCAGCCTGCCCAACAGAAAGGACTTCTCCATTAAAGAGTGAGCTCACAGACACTGGAAGGACCCAGGAGAGCGTAAATGACCATGCACCGGAGATGCTGTGGACAACATTCCTGAAAATGGAAAACCTTGGGCTTCATTCCTCTTTCTGCTTTTTCCTAGCTTTGTGGGTTGGGAAAAATCACTTAACCACCCTGAGCCCACTCTCCCCATCTTTAAAAATGAAGATAATAACAGTGGCTTGACAGTATCGAGAGCATTAACGGAGACACGTATGACAAGCATGACAAGTGTGTCTTCAATGTCAGCCCCTTCCCTTTCCATCTGGGGGCGGGGGTTTTTTGGGCTAGATAGTTTCTCAGGTTTATTCCATTTTCATGACTCTAAGGATTTTCTGTCCCCACTTGAAGGACAGCTTGAGCCCTTTGATCAAACCAAGTTTCTGCGTTACCTATGGATTTACTTTATCCTCGTTATGTCTGTTCTCATTAATATGCATAAACAAGAGTAACAGTTCAATTATTCTACCCCTTCTCACCACCACCATCATTAGCTCAATGTTAGCAATTGTAACTGGAGAGCTTTTTGCTGACCTAGAAATAAGATTTTTCTTCAGTGGAGATTAGTGTTGTAATGACATGATCAGTGGTCCTTCACCCTGGCCGCACTTAGAATCACCCAGGGAGTTTCATGAAAATGTCCTGCATAAGCCCCACCCAGACAAATTGAATTTGAATCTCTGGGGGTGAGGTCCAGAGATCAGTATTTCTTAAAAGCTTCCTGTGTGTGATTCTAATAAGGAGCTAGGGTTGAGAACCAGTGGTCTAGATGCATTTTAGAATCCGTTTTGCCATTCAATACTCACGTGCAGCCTAATTCTCTGAGGACGCACTTGCTCTGTGCTTTTCAGCCCATTTATCTATTAAATCTGGCTATGCTGGTTTTTCATTATTGATTTCAATGTAAGAAGTGAGCTCCGAAAGTTTTTTTCCTGTTAATTGACCACAGCTCTCTATTAAACCTCTCACCCACACCCCCACACCAGCACGTACCTTCCCCATCCCCCTGTTCTCAGGAAGATACGTGAAATTAGTGGTATATATGTGAGCTTCTGCCTCCTCCTCGCTCCCCTGTTCTTTCCTCTCATGATCTAGAGGCCTGCGAAAGCTAAAAGCTTCTGGAAATGGCCAGCCTGCTTTGTATGCTTGCTTTCTCCAATCATGATTGAGGAATTTGAGGGATGGGAGTTAAAGCTACCCCCAAAGCACGCAGGCCTTTGGGGTAAGCTTCCCTTCCCTGCTTGTCCAGGACAGAGGGAAGACAAACAGTGGCTGCCGGCCCTAACAACTAGACCCATTTGCCTGGAATTCTGGAGACTTTTCTGATCTGCTTTTAGGGCAGGGCTGTGTCCTTGAAAGCTGTCAGATTTGATTGAAAAATTGGTGTACTTTGAGTGAGCCGATTAAGCATTTCATTAAAGCTGTAGCTGACTTAGGTGCTGATGTAAATCATCTCAGCTACTTGAAATGACCGTAAGTTAAGTGAGAGCGGTGTCATAGCACTTGATGGGTTATTCCCCCTTGGAACATTACATTTATTCTGAATGCTCAACAGGGTTTTGTGGTAGGCAGTCCGTGTGAAGGGAGGGGAAGCTGTAACTCCATTCTGCTTGAGACCACGTATAGGGCCAATTGAGTGTATTTGTGTACATGGACACACACACACACACACACACACACACACACACACACTTTGAAGGCAACAGAGAAGAGCAATTGACTAGGAGACTGCTTATGACTCTATTGTTTTTTATAATCATTCATTAACTTATGTAGGACCTAAGGCTGACAGCTATTTTTTTTTGTAAATATTGGACTGGGCTGGGTCTTTGGTATGAAATGTGTGATTGCAAGTTATGTATTCTCCTGACATATAATCATGTCATCACCCACAGGCAATTATTGATACCATGCCCTAACGTTATCCAATTTAAGCCTACAGGTATTTGTAGTTTATAGTGTGCTGAAGATGTATAAATAGTAATCCCAAATTAACAAATTTGTTAATACTATTAAAAAATGTTCTCTATGAAAACTTGGTTGCTACAGGCCCCCACAACACCTCACCTATATACCTCTATTGCTCAATTCAATAATTTGTTATTTGGGGGTTTAATTTACAAAATCTTAAAGTATCCTTGTTATAAGGCTGTTGTCCCTACAAGAACATAGAATTACAAAACTGAGACTTTATATGCCTGCCAACCGTTGATTAGGTCCCTTTAATAACGTCCATTGCATTTATAATTATGTAATATTCATCTTCTAGATTGTAAAACCCTAAGAACAGGGACCATGTCTAGTGCTTTCACCGTTGTGTCCCTCATGCTTTACATCATTCCCGGCACAGAATATAGCCAACATATCTAAATGAGAGAGTAAGGATGGAATATATAATGGACCCTGAATACCGACAGCACAGAGCAAACAGGGGTGCTTTTTTCCTTGCCCCTCAACTTCCCAGCTGGGTAATTACAAAGCTATCTTGGGCTGATGGCGCCACCTAGTGGTCATGTGTGAATTTATCTGCTCTACCGTGTTTTCCCCATCACTTGCTTATTCCTTTCCAAGGAGGGGGAGATAAGTGCATTATCCTAATAATGCCTCCAGCACAATGTTTGTTTGTTTTTTTTCCTCTCATCTTTTTCTTTTCTTTACTATCACCATAATTGTGGTCCTCATTATCCGGCCAATTTGAATACCTTTCTAAATATATATATTTTTTATTCTCCTTGCTCACTGCCACTGCAAACCATCCTTAAATATCCATCCAGCATGTTGTCCTGGTTAAAATGCTGTATGTTTTCCTGCAGCAATGATTTCACACTGCAGATCACAATTCATTGATGGTTTATTCAATCAACTTGATGGATAACCACTAACCTTTAAAAAATTTGAAATATAATAAAAAAAAATACCAGAGAACAACATATGTAGTTGGGGAAATAATGTTTCATTAAACTTTTGTTTCAGTTTTAAACACACACACCTTTATCACATGCATGTGTATTGGATTGGGCTGTCAAATACTTATGAAAACCACAGTTAGTAGAATTATGTTTAATAAGTCTGATATTGAAATCCTCCAAGCAGTACTTTGTGGTGGTGAGACTTGAGTTTTAATGTGGTTTCTTCTAAGTTTAACTTAAACTCTCTGAACTTCAGATTTCTCAGCTCTACATTGGGGAAAATAATAACTGGTAGAGGCTACTGTGAGAATCAAATAATGCATGTAAAATGTCTATGACAGCTGTACACATTATGTGGCCAATGACTATTTGTTTCCTGCTTATCCAAACTTATTCCTTTTACATTCCTACTTTTATCCTCCACTTCCATCAAATAGGTATCTTTATGGTCTAACAATAGCCTGAATGTTTCACCTCTATATCTTTATTTTAATGTCTTCCTCATATGTATTACCGTTCACATAGCAACTTACCTAATTCCTGTCCATTCTTCAAAACCCAGCTCAAGTGCCACCTTTTCCATGAAGCCTTCCTTGACCATTATAGCACCCAGTGATTGTCTTATAAGCTCATTGGGAGCAGTTACTGTCTACCTCTGCCTTTCTCCAGGGCAGAGAGATTCATGTGTTGAGCACAGTGGGAGCTTTGGAAAAGCTTACAAGATAAAAAGGGGGAAGATTCAATGGCAGTGGCACCATTGGAGATGAATGAGATCCTCACTACAACTTACTAGTTGGACATTGCCATGGGATTTATAACGTTCTTTTTATCCTCCCTCCCACCCCCCGCAATGGTTCAGTATTCTGCTTTTTTCTTCTCTTAAGGGAAATGATTTTCATGCCTTAGATATGAATGTTGAACTGAGTGGTTGAAATAAAAAGAACAGAAAAGGTAACAGGAAAATCAAAATTTTATTTCTATGGTATGGTTATTTATCCATCATCCATCAATAGGAACTTTTAGGACTCTGTTAATAAATTAAAATGAAAAAAAAAGAATATGTCTGCTTTTTAAAATAAATTGGCAGTATTACTGCTATAAATGTTACTTTTCTGGATTTAGCTATATTGAGATATTATTTCTATTTGCAGTCACCAGTTGGCCATGGATATGGAGAATAATATTGAAAACTATCACCTCAATCTACAGCCCTTGGAATCAAAAGTGAAAATGTAAGTTATTTCAAAGTTTACATTAAAGCAACAGTGTTAAAGTTCTTGCTTTCTTAGTTTCTGAACTACTATGGAGTTTTGTGGTGTAAGAATTACACATTTATTTATTTCACATTTATGTGTTACACATTATTTCCTCTCTGGTCTAAACAGCAACAAAGCTGTTTTGGCCACACAAAGCTGTTTTGGGTACACAGCACCATCTGCTGGATGGTGTAGGGAATTATTTGATTGTCATCATTTCTTGGTTTTCCTCCTTCAGGCAGAGTACTGTTCTGCAACTTCCACTAGCATTTTCCACTTTCTTTTATTTTAGTGATCAAGATGGTTAATTCCATCTTGGAGCAATGTGGTTATTTTCACCTCAGGGTGTTTCTTGATCACACACACACACACACACACACACACACACACACACACCCTTTTTTACTTTCTTCCTTCTTCCTATGTCCATTCCAGCTCTCATCTAAATATTTTGGAAAAACATATCTTGTCTTTCTCATTTTCTATCCTTTTATTTTTTATTCTCTCTTACTAAGGCCAAATATTAGTCCCCTTTCCCCACTGTGTGTGACTATTGCATTAACTGTGCCAAAAAAACACCTCAATATCAACAAAACTGGAACTAATAAGGTACAAAGTGAGACAGGCATATTAAGGAACAAAATGACAACCTTTTAAAACCACTTTTAAGTAGAGAAGGGGCGGTCATAATCCCCTCAGAAGCAATTTTAAACTATTCACACCAGCTCTCTGTGAGCCTTCCCATTCTGATTTTGCTTCAGGGGCGCATGTAAGAATAGCCACTGAGGGTGTGTATAATACACACACACACACACACACACACACACACACACACACTCAGCTTGATGCTCCAAGAAGCATGCTTCTGAGAAATGAAATATACCGGTGCTTGGCCAGGATCATGGATCGTTTGCAAAAAGCCCAGAGGAATCTTTACAGAAGAAGCCACCTGAAGAAGGGGGCCTTGCCGTGTACAATAAGCCGTTGCTGGGTTTAGGAATGGAGACAGAAATCATGCAGATATATAATGTCCTGCTGGATGAAGGCAAATATTAACACACACCACTATAAATCTGTGTTAACCTTGGTTACAGTAAAAAGCTTGCCTCTGAGCGAGCACGATGGGCTACCTCTCCAGGTAAAGTTCAAACATGGTTTCGGAACCCATGGGATCCTCCCAGGAAGCTCTGTGTTACACTTACTAAATGAATAATGAATCAGGCTACCAAGTCGTTCTCTGTAAGCAGTATGTCAGCCCCACTACACAAATGTTAGTTTCCAGCCATCGGCTGCTTTATCCTTAAGAGCTTTTCTCTTATAATAACATCCTCTTAAATGAATAAGTTGGAAAGGAGAGTTGGCTGGGTCAGAAATTGGGGTGTTTCATTTGAACACTGAAATGAAGTTAGGAAACCTCCCTGTTGTCTCTTAGCTTTCATCATCTCTAATATGTAGAGGCAGAGGGCCAGGTGCCAGGAGGAGGAACAGGCAAGGAAAAAAAATCTCTGTGTCTGAGAGTCTAGCCAGCTCAGAAAGTCTGAGATTTTATGTGTAGCTAGTTTGATGGAGGAGTCTCAGCTCAGTGAGGTGCAAACTGAATGGCTTTATCTCTTCTAATAACTCTGGACCCCATTTCCACTCACTGGAGGGGGATGAGGGAGAGAAAACTTAATCTTGCCCAATAATGGAATTCGAGTCCCATTGGAGAGTTTAGTCCAGTTCAGTGACTCTTGTCTAATCTGGTTATTAAATTCTTAACTGTCATGACAGGTTAAACATCTCCCCTCCACACACATCAGACCTTTCCTACAGCTGGGCAGCCTGCTCCCCTCTCCTCCCCTCTCCCTTTTCTAATCTCCCCATCTGCCTTCCTTCCTCTTCTCCTCCTGTCTTGATGTCATCTCACTCACCACTCAATTGCTAAACACCAAGGCTTCCCCAGTCTTCTCATTGATGGTGAACATTCGAGCTACCAGATAGTTGAAGCTACCAGACAGTTATTTTAAAACAACTCTGTGGGGTTATTTTATTGCTTGTGGGAAGGGCCATTGGACCCCCCCCCCAAACTCCCCACCAATGGTGTAGGCTGTCTACCCCAGGATGACCTTGGCATCATCCACAGGGAGAATTTTGGCATGCCTCTACCTATCCTCACTTTCCAAGAGATGTTCTTTAGACCTGCAGAGTATTGAGTGTGAAAGATGGGGCCTTGCCCCAGGTTGCCGAGTCACTGCCAAACGTCACAGGCTCTTTCTTAGGGTCTTTTCATTTCTGTTGGTAGGACCCAGCTGGACATCTGCCTTCCCCCAGGGGGTAGAGGGAAGTGAGGTTACTACACCATAAAATCCGCTATTCTGGAAACTCTCCTCCCCCTTCCCTGATGAGGAGGACCAAATAGTAGGTTCCAATTAAGGTTTCTGGATAGTCCAGCCCCTGCAAGTCCTGAGATGGGATGTATGTTGGCAGGTCAATCTCTGGACGTAAAAGATAAAGCAAGATGAGAACTGTTCTCAGGTGTCGCTGCCTTTACTGTATACCTGCACTAGCGGGAACCCTGGGTGGGGGTTGGATGGGTCAGGAAAGGGTCTCAGTTGTTTCCTCATATTCAGGGCAGCATAAAAAGGAAATAATATGATTAAGAAAGGCTCAACCTACATGTGGTTGTTCCAAGTATAATTGGAAGGAAGGAGGGGTGGAATTTAGAAGAAATACCAGGAAGAGTGCATTGCCTGGTTCATGAATGTTAAGAGACAATTTTGAGTTTTAGACTCAGACGATCAAAGAACTGCATCAAAAGGGCAAAAGCAATCAAGATTGCACAGCTATTAATAAAAAGTCATGTTGGGGAGGGAAAAGGCAGGTTTTCTGAAGATCAAGCAAAGGCAAGCCTCTCAAATCAGAAAACTTAGCTAAAGCAAAATTAATACTGAAAGCACCACAATGAAGGCTCTCAGCACAACGCTAAGACTAAGGATGAATGTGCTTAAGAGCCAAGACTGGATCAAAGGTCTGAGAATGACACCCACATCAAAGGATTGGGGGTTTCAGCACAGAGGCCTGACTGGCAAGGAAGGAAACAGACTCATCAGATCCCATCATTGAAAAGTTGTGCATTGACTGCGTGCAACCCCTCTCCTTGTGTTAACAATATGTTTATTTTGTGATGAACAACATAGAGATCTATTGAATCCAAATCTCCTTTTTTTCACTTCAACTTTGTTCTTTTTATTTATTTTTTTAAAATGTATCTGTATTGTTGAAGGTATTACAGATGTCCCCTTTGTTTGTTGTTTTTTTCCCATTGACCCCCTCCACCCTGAACCTGCCCCTCCCAGGTTTTCACCATTCTATTGTCTGTGTCCCTGGGCTATACATTTATGCATATAAATTCTCAGGTTAATCAGTTAATCACTCCCCCTTTCCTCCCTCTTTCCCCTTCTACAGGGGGAGGG